CCGCCGTCGCTCTGGCCCAGGAACAACACTTCCGCACTCCCGACACCCAACGACGAACCACCGCCAACGACGACGACGATCCACAGCGTGGCGATGAAACGCCCAGCAGTGAATCGAGTGGCGCTAAAACGCATGATCCTTCTCGCAGTTTTCTCTCTTCTTCTTCTTCTTATTCTTCTTCTTCCGACACAACCGCGAGAACGATCACGAAGGGATTGCCGACGCGATATCACATAACAGTCGGCTCGACGATTCGCGCCCTCGGATCGGGCAGGGAAGATAAAAATAAATAAAAGATAGACAATTACGCGCGAGAGAAATACATTCTGGGAAAAGAAAAGGAATGAATCATGTCAAGGCTGTAGTCAGTGTTCCCCAAAACCCTGGTCCCTGGGATACAGACAAATTGAGACGGACAATTCGAGACTGGACAACTGGAGACAGAAAATTAGAGACGGGGCCAATTCAAAACAGAAACAGGGACAATTTGAGTAAGGGACTATCTTAATAAGGAGTGGAATCTGCTTAGGTTGGCTCAAAGATTTGAATTTTTCTTTGCTGAAGAAAACTCACTTCACAGTGATGATGGACAAAAAAGAGAATACCCCGGGATCACAGACTTTTCACTGAACAGTGCAATTTTTGTTCATTTTCACACCTTAAAAATACAATGGGGAGAAACATAGTCAAGGCATTTTATCTCAAAATGTCTTAAATTCTCAATATTTTTTGTCTTGATTTGTCCATGTCTCAAAAAGTCTCAATTTGTCCCGGTCTCAAAAAGTTTCTGTCTTGAATTTTCCCTGTCTCAATTTGGCACAGTCTCAAATTGTCTGTCTCAATTTGTCCAATATCCATGGTCTGCTCAGCAGAAGTTTTTTTTTTTGGTCTGTGGAAAAATGTATTTGACACAATAAATTAATTAAAAATAGAGATTGAGTCTGCCAGCATTGTCTGAAATTTCGGAAAGACAATTCCAATTGAAATTATCTGATGAAAAAATATAAGTTGGCTTTTCTCTTAATTACACTTCAGACAAATTTTCACCAGCTAGAATACATTTTATTAATTTTTCATGCTGAAAAACCTTTCTTCAAGCCAACCTTTCTAATTTTTTTAAGATATTCCCCTACAGCTACTTTACTGGTTCTTCAATCAATTTTTGCACACAAAAAAGCAGACTTTTAAATACCTGCCATAAAATCTTTCAGACAAAATTTTTTTATATTTGTCGTCCGCGGGCCCAAAAAGGTTCGGGAGCACTGCTGTAAATAACGAACGAATAAAAACATCAAAATATTTTCATGATAACATAAAAAAATAGTCTTCAGCTCAAATTAAAGACGCATAGATGAGTTATTTCAAATTCTCCCACAAAACACGAACTCGAGAAATTCAGATTTCCACCAACTGTTTCCCCCATGTTCACTTCACTTCCTTTCTAATATTTTCGAGTGGCATTAAAATTCTCTTTCATCCAGGTCTTGGACCAATTTACGCAACTGCACTCATCAAAGCTAAAACATTCTGGAAAAATGAATAAAACGATTCTTGTCAAGGTTAGAGAGAATGAAAGAAACGTAATATACCCACAATTTACTCGACTGAACACCTTTTCGACCTTCTCGACTTTTTAGCATTCCATTTTTCAAATACAACGCGTTTCCAACCCAAATTAAGGATCAAGTAATTTTTAGTGACATCACTGTATTTAAAAATGCCAACACTCGAGAAACCAAGATTTCCGCCAACTGAGATTTCCCGTCATTTTTTCGGCGAATCATTCGTAACTTCGTGACATTTTGCTGTCTCCTTTCCTAATAATTTCAAGTGACAACATTTTCACTATCTGACATTCACTTCTCGTATCAATGTGACACGCCTCAGAAAGCCGACAAACTCAGAAAATCTCGCGTATTTACAGATACTGTAATTCCGCTAGTTGAGAAGCAAAGGTCTACAGGCCAACGATTTTCGCTAAAAATTGTGCTATTGCAGATAAAAACTGAAACTGAAATTTTTTTTTATATTTCTTCCCTGTTCCCACAGGTTATCGTGATTGAAATATGTCGTATCTCCATTCATTTTTACCGGTATTACATCTTCACTGATCAAGAAGACCTACAAATTCACCACTAGGTTTTCAAAGCCTACAATGAAATTAAACAGGCTTTTCATCACTTGCAAGATCCTGAAAAAAAAATTGAATCGTACGAAACCCATGATGGACTAATTACAGGAAATTGGTGTCTGCAAAGTATGCCAAAATTTTCTTTAAAAATACTATTTTAAAAGTTTAGAAAACCTCAAATTTGTTTTCTTAACCAGATCCGAACGTCCGTCGAAGCAACACAAAACCGAAAACCGGATCGAACCGACGTGGAAATCACACAGCTTCGTTTCCTTTGTGCACGAGCAAGAGAATGCACCAGTGACCCTCACTGGGCATCACGTAAACGTAGATTCACTGAACACGTCGAATATTCCACGTCTAAAAAACAAAAAATAAAAAAACAGCTGCAGCGGGCACCGAACCGATTACACGCCAACAACGCACATCCTGTAAAATTCAACAAAAACATCAACAACAGTGAACAAACAAGCCCCAAAAAAGTGTAAAAAAACACACAAAATAAATAATCACGACAGTTGATAATTAAAAGACCCAATAAAACACACCTCGTTTCACCACGATTTCACGAATTTCGGTAAACCCTTCTTCGAGGAAAACGTTTCTGCTTTTCATCAATCGATCACATTTCAAATTCGATCCCCGTCTTTCGTCAAGCACAGTCAAAATTCCAGATTTTTCAATTACAGTATTCAACAATGCGGAGAATAGCAACAACAACAAAAAAAGGCTGAATGCAAACAATTGTTCGGCGTTCTCAGAGAAAAATGACCGTCAAAAAGGTCAACAAGAAAAGCGTTCCTATGAGACAAACTCGACAATTTCGTGAACCCTTCCCTTCCTTTAAACAATCAAAAATCTCTTCGAAGTCTTACTTCGTCGTTTTTCGGTTGAAGACACTTGGAAATCGTCACGACACACAAGTCAAGATCGGTTCCCTCCGAACCAATTTCCATCAAGGACGTTTCCGCGTAGACCTGTCTTTCGTCCGTTGAAAAAAAAAATTACAGATCCGATACTGAGGTTCAGTGAAATCCAGCGAAAAACTGCCATCACAAAAGCACGCTGGAAAAGTTACCGTGACACGAGACCATGAATAAACGCGATCAAACGAACATTACGCCCACTAAGCCGTGGTTGTCATTGAATTCTCTCTCCCACCCGAATGACAAAAAAGAAAACAAAACAAATGTCACTCGGAAAACGCAGAATGTCAACGAATCACAGCGAATGAGCGGAACATGTGGTTTATCCACACATTCAAAGACGCAATCATCCAAGCGAAATGCAAAAAAAAACACTCGCTTTGGTTTGATAAAATACTGGAAACCATCAAAGCATAGATTCCTACACTTCATGCGAATACTTTTATTTTATAAAGCGCGGTTTTTCGGCGTGTTTGATGATGATTTCAAATCGAAAAAAAAAACACCGGGGTAAACATTCCAAGTGCGTAATATACCAACAAAAAAAAGAACAGATCAGATCAGATACCGTATCAATCCATGCATCCAACGGTTCAAAACTATCCAGTTTTCAGATCAAGAAAGCAATTGAGAAATCATGGGAATATTTGTTCAATTGGAGAAGTCGGATTTAATGTTTCAAAGCGTTCAACCATTATAACTGTGTCGAGCCATTTGGCAAGACGAATATTTCATCCGATCACAAACCATGAATACGAGGGAAAAATGCCGGTATTTTGAACAGATTTCTGCAGATAATGACGATATTGTAAATTTATTTTTACGAAGCCCAAGAACCAGTTACGAAAAAAAAAACACTGAACTCGACGTTCACTTCACGCACCAGCGCGAAAATGACCAAATTCAGCTGCGCAACATTATGATTATGATCCCGACGATGATCTTTTCGCGCGAGAATCATTACTGCGAATATATTTAAATTTTTTGCACTCATGTGGTAAAAATTACTGCACTTGAAACTCGCACTCCTCATTTTTCCCCTTTTGAATTTATAACTTACGTCAGTTGCTCTTATTCAATATTTTAAACTCCCCAGGACGAAGGTGTTTCTTCAATAAAAAAAAAATACTATACTTGAAAAATTTCGAAAGGTTTTCAAATCAACTATTACTAAGTGAGTTAATCTCAAGAATCGGTCGAGAAACAAACATGCAAACACGGTTTTTGCATGCACTAAATTTGTTTTTAAACTCGCTTTGTTGCGCACATATTTTGAAAACTAGGAAAATTTCGAAATGCATTTTGACTATTACCGGTATTAAAAATCACCTGCACTTAGATGGACTGCAATGTTCACAAAAATGTTAGTCAACTGAAAAGCTTCTTCAAACAGCACGGTGGTTTTGGTGAGCAAAAATGCAAATACGGTAGTTCAGAAAACATACAAGAACACAATTTTGTGCGTCAAGATTCTTTGGAGAGCCGAGAAAAAGCTGAACTCAAAGCCACAGATTCATCACATGTTGAGAGTCAGAAGAAAATGCCAGTGCTTAAAAAATGCCAGGAGAAAAAATTACAATCCTTCCTCTGGTTTTTTTTTTTAATACTGATTCAAAACGAGCTGCAACATCACTGTTGACAAATGAAAGCAATCCATGTTCAGACAGGCTGACTTCAAAATTTATTCCCAAGGTATTTCGCGGAATTTTCCCATTCATTTATTTCTCCGAGTACTGCCAAGTACATTAATTTTTTTTTTTTCAACCTTCACATCAATTCTTTCTCGCATTCATTTTTTCCCCCGCATGATTTTCTCTCTGAAATTCATATCCACTGATGTAATTTTCTTCGGCGGCATTTTCACCATGGCGTCGATCACGATGGGGAAAAAAAACTGTCGCGTGGTTAATTATACTCACGAATACGTTACACTCGTCGTGACACTTCCCGAACGTTCCCCTCGTGTCACACCAAAGAACGATTCGCAGAACCCGGAATTTTCCAGATAACAGACGCCCCACAGAAACAAAACCCCATGCTTCGTCGGTTGGTTTAGTGACACGAAGTTCCCGGGAAA